GCTTCTTCTTCCAAATCAGACCAGTCCTAATTTTACCAAAATCTGGTTTAAATCCATAAAAATCTACCTTTCCTTCACTTTCGTCCGAATCCAACGAGCTATCACTACCACCATCATCTTCAGTTGCTCCCTCAGATTCTTCGGAATCGGAATCGGAACCGGAACCGGATTCATCATCCTAAAATAAAAATGTAATTGCTAACAAAAAGATTTCCAAACCTCTCCCGATGGTACATAGGCCTCACTTTCATCACTGTCGTCTTCGTCGTCGTCCTCGTCCTCTGCGGCTGGATCGAGAAAACTCCAACCACCGGTTTGGAAGAAATCCTGAAGTTAAAATTGAATCAACATGCCAAAAATATAATTGCCCACCACGGGATCATCAACAATCGTTTTCATAATCTTTGGCCAGTTGAGCGATTGGATTCCTTCTGTGTACTTGATGTCGCACGAGTTCAGCCAATCTTTAATGCCATCCAAAGAAGTCGTCGGAATTTGTTGAATCATTTGAGTTTTACGGCGATAATCCCAAAATCATAAAATTAATAATAAAAACTTCCTTTCAAACCTTGAAAACAACAACCATATCAAAGTTCTTCAATTGGAATGACACTCGCTCGAAATGCACCAATTCGATATCGTCGAGTGAAATAACAAATACAGGAGATTCCGTGAGGTTGACAAGACACGACGAGGTCGGTTTCAACTAATAAACAAAAATTGTTTTTTACCTATGTAAGTTCTTTACCATGACACTATTGCGCATTGGATTTCCCCAGAAAGCAAGATCGTTGAATGGTGTCTCGAACTCGAAAACCTCGTTGGCTTGTTTCACCACTTTGTCGCAAAAAGCTTGGAACGTTTGATTGAGCTTTCGTCGCATTTCGCGTTCTACCTAAACCATCAAAATCATTTCAAAACCACCATCGTCACTCACTTGTTCCGAAGCCACGTCATCACGGTCTTGCCTAAACAAACTTTTAGTGGACGTTTCGTAAAATAATTACTTACATGTGATGATACTTTCCCAGATCCGTGGTAATTTCTCCAACTTCGGTGAAGAATTGAATGTCTCCGTGTTTCTTCTTTCCCCATAGTACAGGGTTTTTGAGATGAAAGTGTAGCAAGATGATCATTTCTTTGTCACACGGCTAAAAACATCAATTAGGTCCGCTTAGTTTATAGCAGCTTACTTGGAAAAATGCATGTCGAATGTTATTGTAGAGAACCTCAATCTTGTCTCCTCGCAATGATGTGTATCGAAAACCATTGGTGTGAGCCTCGAGTGATCCAGAGATTCGTTTGGAGATGATATTCGGACGAACATACAGCTCCTTCAACTTTGGGTTGACTTTGTTTGCTGCGATGATAAGCTTGTCTTGAAGCACAGCGCCCTCCTTTTCGCGTTGTTCTGCCTAAAACAACTAAACTTCGATAAAAGCCAAACAAACAAACCTCCTCAGCTCGAGACTTTTTCTGCATATCCTTGATCAAGCGGAAAGCACTATTGAGATTGTTCGATGGAGCCGCAATCTGTCCATGCTCTTTAACTGTAGACGCCCGGAAAGTCAGTTCTTTGATGTATGTCGCGAGTGGCTGAGGGAAAGGCACATTTTCCTTTCCAACATTTGCTCCAGGATGTGCGAAGTTGATCCGAAGGTACATCGTGTCATTCTCAACCGAAGTGGAGCAATTCTGAAACGAAAACACATAGAGACTCTCTAAACAACAACAAACCTTGATCATAGAAATATGAAAAGGCACTGGGATTCCAAACAACGGAAGAATGACCGAATCATGACGACGATCTAAAGTAGCCATATAAAATTTGAAAACCATTACATTTCCTACCAACATGAATCACCAGCCCTTCAACTTCAGCATCTTGAGGAAACCTGTCGTAGCTCTTGTAAGAAACGTTCGATTTCACTGCTCTAAAAAGACAGAATAACACAAATAGATAAAAAAACGCTTACTTCTTCGCTTCAGATCGTCCAGATTCTTGTGCCAAACGCTCTTGAGCTTTCTTGTTGAGAGCCTCCGACAATTCTTTTTGGCGTTCCCTGCGTTTCTCTTCATTCGTTTGCTTGTTCCGCGTGACTTCTTTCAAAACCACACTCATCAGGCTAAAAATACAAATATTGACAACTATCATATTGTAGAAGTTCTAGAAAAGACAGGAGATTAAAAAACATCCCTACAAAATGGAAACAGATAACAAAAGTCATATCATGGATCTTTTACGCGCATTGAAAGAAAACTCGTCAAGTTAACGGCTCAAAACAGTAAACATCCAAATATCAAGTTTTAACGTTGAAACTTAACGCGTTCGATTTTAGAGCACCCGGACTTCAAAGATCTTTGTCCCGAGGAGAAGGAGGAGTATTTGTGCAAGTAAGTTTTGTGTGACAAGACTTTCAAAAAAGCGTGCAATGTGCGCAATTTAAATCGGCGAAAGAGAAAGAAATAAAACGGAGAAACCTTTTTTCGAATTTCGAATGACTTGCGACTAGCATTGATCTATAGACGTATTTCGAAGATATTCAGGTCATCAACTAAATAACTTTACAGTAGCTTATTGGACACCGAGTGCGAAATAGAAAATAAACACTTTCGGTGCTCCCAAACATTCTCAACTCGCTAGTACAGTCGGACCTCTCTATAACGAACCTCGATATAACGTAAACCTCTCTATAACGTAAGGCGTGACCGGTCCCGGCCAAATGTAATACAAAATGTCTATAAAAAAACCTCGATATAACGTAACTTTGTATAACGTAAACCTCTATACAACGGAAAATTTTGCCTGAAAATATGCAATTTTTTGTTCCATATAACGGATTTTATGCTAAAACGTGGATATTTCTTCCAACTACCATGCTCTTTGGATGGACTATTCTAATCTGTGGCCTTTTTGCCACAATTTAAAAGAAGAAAAAAATCACTTACATAGATTCTTAATAAGTTTTTTGCGTTCATATATCGTTCACTTATTCTTTTTACGTGCTTATTTTCTGTATTAAATGATATTTATCATTTTTCAGGCGATGGAGCGAAAGAAGGCGACCCGGAAAAGGATCGATCTAGCTGAAAAAAAGCGAATTCTTGATGCTTCAACTTCGAAAGGAGTAACGGATTTAGCAAGGGAATTCAAGCGGCCAATTTCGACCATTTCTTCGATTTTGGGCCAAAAGCAAACGATTTCTAATGCGATCAATGACGGTTCTCAGGGCAAGCGAGCACGAGTGAAGAATAGCAAACACGAGGACCTGGAAGGTGCGGTTATTTCTTGGTTGAAAGAGATTCGAAGCAACAATGAATGTGTGGACGGAAATTTGCTTCGAACAAAAGCTCTGGAGCTTGCAAAGTTGATGGGTATTACCGATTTCCGAGCTAGCAATGGATGGCTAGAAAAGCTGAAGCATAGGCATGGCATTGTTTTTCGTTCCCTACAAGGAGAAGCAGCCGAAATCGACCTGAACAATGTTGAGCAGTGGAAAGATGAAGTATTGAAGGGACTCTTGAAAGAATTTGAGCCAAAGAATGTTTTTAACTTGGATGAAACAGCTCTTTTTTACAAGCTCTTACAAGCTCTTTTTTTTTTAAAACGTTGTCTTTCAAAGGCGATAGATGCACAAGTGGAAAGAAGAGCAAGGATAGAGTCACTGTTCTCGTCGGATCAAATATGGATGGAAGCGAAAGATGCCCTTTATTCGTGATTGGTAAATCGAAGCATCCGCGTTGCTTTAAGGATGTCAAAAAACTTCCTGTTTTGTCCGAAGCAAATTCAAGAGCGTGGATGACCAGCGAATTATTTGAGAGCTATCTCAAGAAATGGAATTCAAATTTGATCAAATTTAATCGGGAAATTTTGTTGTTTATTGATAACTGTCCAGCACATCCGAAGCTCAATTTATCAAACATTCAGATTAAATTCTTTTTGCCGAATGCAACTGCGGCAATCCAACCAATGGATATGAGAATAATTAAAAATCTGAAGGTCAGATACCGAACAGGATTGTTGAAACAAAGAATTGCAGCTGTCGATGCAAAGGCCAAATTCGAATTTAATCTTTTGGATGCACTATACTTACTCGAAGAATCCTGGAATGACGTTAAAGTGGAGACGCTTTCAAATTGTTTTCGTAAGGCCGGATTCAAGAGATGTATGCAAGATGAGCCGCCATTTATCGAAAACAATAACGACGACGATAACTCGCTACAATCATTGCAGGCTATCTGGAATTAACTTATTGATAGTGAAGACGTTGATCGATCAATCAATCCTTTGGAATTTGCTTGCGCCGACGAAAATGTTGTGACTACAGGGTTAAGATCGCTAGAGGAAATTGCACTAGCTGCTAAAGGTACAGATTATATCGTTTAAAGTAATGCTAATTTAAGGAAAAGATCAATTATGTTTCCTTAGGTTCGCAACTACAGTCGATTTCTTCTGATAGCGAGGATGATGAGCCAATCGTTGAAGACGTGGAAGAGCCGATAGTGACACGATCCGAGGCATATCTACATCTTCAAAAGCTCAAGATATTTGTGAGGAATAACCCTAATTCCGAAATTGTTAAGGCTTTAGCAACTTTTGATAATTTTTTCTTTGATCAGGCTTTTTTTTCTCCTAAACAATCCCGTTTGACTAACTTTTTTGTTAAACTTTGATGCTTTTTGATAATTTTTTTACCTTTTTTGTTGAGTTTTTGCAATAAATATGTTCCAATACCTCTACATAACGTAATGGTTGCAATAAACCCTGCGTTTTTGATTCTATATAACAAAACCTCGATATAACGTAAACCTCTATATAACGTAAACTATAGCCGGTCCCGTGAGTTACGTTGTAGAGAGGTTCGACTGTATTTGTAATTTATCGCAAACTTTATCGATCTAGTCAGAGATTCTAAATATGCTACTCGGCAAATGATCATGGAAGTTTAGGGGGAAAGCGATCAAAAAGTGCATCAACATTGCCTGGGTCTGTGACGGACATGTCGACTGTCCACACGGCGATGATGAAGAAAATTGTGATAAGTGGGAAAAACACTGGAATTGTTAAAAATTTTAACAACGTCTATCAAAATCAGGTAATCAGGGATTTCTTCAGTTTTCTGACAAGAGTCGATTCAATTTTTGGTTTGACTTTGGTAGAGCTTTTAATTGATCTACCTGAGTTCCAAAATCAAGCCAAATCAGCCCAAGTTGCTAGTAGCCTTAGTTTTTGAATCAGTTCCAATGATCATTTTTGTTTTACCTCTTTCAAAACTAAAATGGTCTAGAATGGCTGGTGTCGAGAGAGTCGAGAGTCGAGATGCGATGCTGGAGTCGAGATGCTGGAGTCGAGATGCTGGAGTCGAGATGCTGGAGTCGAGGTACGATTTCGAAAAAACGCCACCCTTTGCCCACATTGGACCACGACTACTCAAAGGTTTGTGAATAGTGAGGGATTTTCTCGTGTTTAAGATTTCAATTATTTATCTATCTATTTATCTATTTATTTAGATTATTTATCGAATTCATCTATTCCCAAACCTTAACCCAAAACCACTTTTCAGACTCCACCACTTCGATCCGATGCCCGATGATCTACTCGTCAAAGCGAATTATGGAGAGGCATAACTAACGTAATTCAATCAAAACTTTCAAGGGTTTATAAATGAAAATAATTCACAATATATTTCTATATCGATTTCTAATTTTAGAAAGACTGGGAATACGCAAACATTCCACATCGCCATCAAACCCTGGGAACGGTTGGAGGCAAGATGATCAGTACCAGAAAATGCACTTTTGTACATTTGTATCTTATCTACAATAATGTATTGTCAACCTCTACAATAATGTATTGTCATTCAGGACATTTTGCTTTGCACAAACTCCAAAAGGACTACAAAACCAGAATAGACAGTAACTCGTTCTTTCAATGAAACTCAAATTTTTATTTCACTTTCCCTTGACGTCTTCATCAAATCACCTGTCGCTCCATCACTAAATGAAAAGCTTTCCAATTTCTGAATGAATAAAATGTTTCAAGTTTTTTTTTGTCTGCAATCCTGTCACTGATTTATTAACGAAGAAGTAAAAAAGAGGGAAAGAACAGAAAGATGAGATTTTGGGGAAAGGAAAGAGGTGATTTTTACAGATTTTGTCATCATTTCCCAATATTTCTTCTCTCTAGCGTTGGAAATTTCCGCCTCGACAGAAAATGCACCTGAAATTTGAGAGTACATTTTTAAAGGTTACATTGTGATAGTCGAAAGTTTTATTATTGAAAGAGAAGTGAAAATTTGGATTAGTTTTTTTTTTGTTAGTTAAGCTTTGAAAGAAATTGTTAGACTTTAGAAAAAGCGAGTCTCACCGATTACGGAGAGCCGAGCCCTTGCTACTGAAATTTGGCAATATAAGAAAAACTTTGTTATAGCATTTCGGATTTTGATTGTTTATCTTTTGCAGTTTGACAAGGGAAAGATTACTGCGATTTCTAGTGGGATTACTGTAAAGCTAGTGTACTAAATGTTGATCAAGTTTGATATGCCAAAGCTAAATCTTATCTTAGCTAATAATCAGTGATCTTTGAAACTAGCTAAAATTATACTAGCTTCTGTAATACGAACTTTTGTGAGAATCCAGATCCTTCTTGTTGTCGAACACCGATATCCAACGGAAGATCGGGGCTATCGAATTGGGCCCCAAATTGCGCGGGGAGGCCTCGAGATCGGAAACTCGTCACACACATCACAAAGGCACTAAAAAGATAAATGCTTTCATAGATATTCATTTATTTTACATAACAATATCTCCATTTAGCCAGGCCTAACCTAGGCTATAGGTCCTGGGTCAAGTCCTGGCCTGGTCTCACCTAGCTTTAGGCTAGGTGAGCTTTAGGCCAGGTGAGCTTTAGGCCAAGTGAGCTTTAGGCCAAGTGAGCTTTAGGCCAAGTGAGCTTTAGGCCTTAGACTTTTGGCCCAGTTGGGTTCAGCTTATACTTGTACAGTCAACTCTCGATATAACGATTTTGAAATTCTAAAACGCGCTCTTGGTTTCTGGGTAGCTGCTCCAAACGCAATCGTTAGCCGCTCAGGGCAGCAATTGTGACACTCTTTAGAATCGTTAAATCGAAATTTTTGATCCCAAGCGAATCGTTAAATCGAGAGTCGACTGTATATTGTGTTTCTTAAGCAAAACAAAGCAATAAACAGGCTAAGTGACTGTCAGGCTTAAAAAAGCTTCCAACAATTACAAAAAATGGTTTGAGCTTAATGTAAAAAAATTGTCAAAGCACCAACCCAACCAAGAAAATCACGCTGAAAATTCGCATTTTTCTTGCTGAACCAAGGAGATAAATCTGGAAATGATGAGCTGATTGCGAGAGTTTTACCTCAAGAACTATGAGACTTTTCAAACAAAAAAAAATTTGTGCTCTCAAAATGAGTTGAAGTTTGGAAGAACACTTCTCTCTTTTAAAACGAATTTTATGAAACCCCACCGGAAAAAAAGAGGGGGCGGGCCAAGGAGAAGAGACAAAAAAAAAAGAAACGAAAACAAAAGTAGCTTCTGAAAAAAAGGAAAAATTACACCTGCACCGACTCCTTTGGGAAATGAGGGAATTTTCAAGGTTAGTAGGAAAGAGGAAAAGTTATAAAGTTAAAATATGATAGAAATAGATCTTTGCTCTTTGTGTTTAAAATTTTGACTCTTCCAAGTCTTCTTCGAAAATCACATGCATTGAATTTTGACCTTAAGATGGGTCTCCGTTTTCTGCGGGTGCAAGGGTTGCAATTTCTCTGCAAAATGCCCGCAATTTTAGTCATTAAAGGATAAAAGGGGACAAGATGTGTCTAATGAAGCCATTCAGATAACTATTTTGAGAATAGGAAAAAGAATAGCAAGCCACAAACTATGGAAGTGAGGTGAAGGGGAAAAACAATGGAGAAAGCTTGGTAAGTTTTTGCTTCTAAGTGTTTTGTGCTCACCAAAGGGGAAACACATACTTTCTAGCGCATTGAAGTAATCATTGCTGCAAGAAAGTAAACAGTTGACTGTGCTAGAAAGGGTGTGTTTCTGTTTTTTTTACATAATAGAAAAAAGCAGCTTATTTTGGGAAAAGGTTATTCAATTTTGAGTTAATTTAAGTCAAAAGTAAGCCTTCAAAATATAGAGAATCCTAGAAATTCTTCATTTCTAGAAGCTCAGTTCTTCATTTCCCATTTGTTCATTACAAAGCTTATTTCAAAAAAAGAGGCAAGACTAGCGGAAACAAAAATGATGAGCTCGTAGTTTGAGTTCAATTTATTTCCCGATACTTCCAAAAAAATGGAAAACAAACAAGATCCATCATTTCATTTGAATTCCCCTTGACCAAAGTATGTTTTTTTGTCGCGCATTTTTTCCAATTTTGGAACTCTCGTTTTTTTAGGGTTTCCTTTACGATTTTAGTCGATTACGTAGGAGATTTGTGTAAGTTTGGGACTGGGATTCGAAATTGAAGACTTGAGTATTTAAAGCTTAATCCCAGTGAAGTTATAGAAGATCAAATGAGAATAAACTTGCTTGTGAGATGGTGGAAATGTTAAAAGAGAAGAATGAAGTTTGTTTGAAGTTTGAAGGGAATTGTTCTGAGGAAAAGCTATGTCTCTAATTTGATCGAGATCTCGAGATTATCAGAACGTATTCGAACAAACGTTAAACATGAGCCAAGCCAAGCCAAGCCAAGCCAAGCCAAGCCAAGCCAAGCCAAGCCAAGCCAAGCCAATGTTGATCCAATTATTGCTTGATTCTGAAACTCAGGGCCAGAAAGGGTATGTTTCCATTTTTAAACACAAAATATTCGTTTAAATCGCAAAATGTGTTGTCATTTGTTTACGAATCCAGCCAGGATGCATAAACGTTGAATAGCTAGAGCTAGCTAATTGCCAATGTTTATTGAATCTGCGAATGGTAAAAAGATACCCTATAGCTTGTGCCCAAAGATACTATAAGCATTTACCAGATGTGAGATAAAGGTGAACAATAAGCTTTTGTATATAAGCTTTTCATTAGTCATCTTATTCACAAAAACTATGCAAAAATAAGTCTGACTCAGTCAGTCTGCCGTTTTTCCTTTTGTTTCTTTATTCAAAGTATTCAAATTATAAAAGAACTAGACAAAAAAACATGGACTACTTGCAAAAAGCACAATCGTTCAAAGACTTTAAATGTTATTTTCTAAGTGAAAAGAATTTTCCAAAGGAGATTCTCGGTAATTCTTATTTTGGATCATTTGCAAGAATAACAAAAAGTGAATTTGTAAGTCTTTTCAAAGGGAACAAAAAAAACACACACAAAAGACGTCAAATTTCTTTGCTGATTATGATGAATTTGTTTTTGACTAGAAATTGTGAAATGACAAAAGGATTTGTCCTCGAAGAATGTGAAAAAAAAATGACAATAGGATTTGCTGGAAAGGTCAAAAATCATTAAAACAGATAGAAAGTTGGCTTTTGGATTTTTTTTTTTTTGAAATTTTGAATTTTGATTTTGAAATGCATCTTCTTGAAAAAGAAAATTCACTTCAAAGCACAAAACAAAAGCGCAAAAGAAGTCAAATAGTAAAAAGGTTATGATTTTTTGACATTTCTAGTCATTTTTTTTGAATTCTTTTTAAAAAAAAAGTCAGGTTAAGAAGAAATTTGAAATCTTTTGCTTAGCTTAAAAAGCAAACTTTTGACATTTGACGCCTGGCATTTTTGAGCAAAATAAATGCCTCAAATATCGAGGGTTCAAAAACAAGTTTTTTGTTTGTTTTGAATAAACATAATTCAAAGAGCTGAAAACTTTATGAAATAGCCGAATATTTTGAGATAAAAAATGACATTTCCATTGAAACGGGTAAATATTTGCGAATGATTCGAATGAGATGTTCGCGCCTCAAAAACAAAAGAAAAAACCCTACAAAATGTGGTGATCACCATGGTGAATTGGAATTGAAATAAGCTATGAATAATGTTTTAAATTTAAATTTAAATTTAAATTTAAAATTTAAAATTAAATTAAATTTTAAAACAAATTTCAAACTACTTCAAATTATTCAAATGTTTAATCAAGATTGAATCCCCTTCTAAATGCAAGCTTTTCAGTCTTCGCGGCTAAAGCTTAGCCGACAAGACTACTGTCTTTTTGACGACAAGACTACTGTCTTTTGGCGACAAGACTACTGTCTTTTTGGCGACAAGACTTTTTGGCATTACAATTACAATTCAAAAAGTGTTTCCAGGCAGAGAAAAGCCAAATTTCCAAGCCAAGTCAAGGGAAAGTTCAGAGTTTTGCTCAAAATTCCCGTAAATTCCAGCCCAAATCAGAAGCAACACCTCAAAAATCTCTTGACCCTAGAGAGTGTAAATTTCCATGAACATAGACTCGCCTCTTTCCCATTCCATAAATAGAAAAACTCTGCAACTGCACAGAGATCCATTAAGATCTTGTGAACTCAAAAAGATGACTCTAAAATGTGGGAAAATGCCTCTAAAATTTGGGTGGAAATTTTTTCTTAAAGCTATCCATTTTTTCATTAGCATTTCTTTTCTAGACGAGAAGAAAGCGTCACTTGATGTGCTGCACAGAGGCTCATTTCAGGAAAA